TCTGCCCTCTTCCGTGGACCCAGGTGCTGCCAGGCCCGCTGCACTTGCATGTGTGTGGTCACGGCCCCACTGGGCTCATTGGGGTCACTCTGCAGGCCCTGCCCCACCGCGCCCCACCCCACTGGAGCCCCCCTGGGTGCCATTGCTATTGCAGCCTCCAGGAGCAGAGCGGTGGGTGGGTGGGTGGGCCAGGGCTGCTGCGGAGATGAGCGATGCTTCTAGTCCTGTCCTGCCAGTGACGAGTTGTGATTCCCTCCTTCCCGAGAGGCCCCTGCATCACCTCTGAGAGGGGCGTGTGGAGGCTGAAGCTGTCTGGCCTGGAAGTCCTGCCCACAGTAGGGCTCCCCAGCCCTCCTCCACGCTGACCAGGGCTCCTGCCTGGCTGGACAGGAGGCCTCTGCCCCTCCGGGAACCTCTATCTCGCCAGCCACAATGAGGAAGGTGAAGAGGGTAGAGGCTGGGGTACTGTCCTGTCCCTCCCCTGTTTATCTTGTGGGTCCCAGTCCTCATGTCTCCCGCCCTGGAAAGACATCCCATGCCCTCTGGTCTGCACAAGGTCCACCATCTAGGTGTCACACATCTAGGTGCTTCACATCGGCTAGGAGGTGGGGCTTTCCCCGCCTACAGGGTTGCCTGGAGAAGGCGAAAACCCCAAATCAGGTCATTCGCTCCTATCTCCCCTACCAGACTGTGAGCCTCTGCGTGGGGGCTTGGCCGTCCACGCTTTCGCTGATCACCTGCTCTGTGCATGGTGCTTTGCCGGCTGTTGGGGACACCGCAGGGATTGGCAGGCAGTCCTGACCTCACAGGGCTTTCCTGAGTGTCAGATGATGCAGAGCAGGTGGGGTAGTGAGGACCAGTGGCTGGGGAAAGGCCTTAGGAGGGGACACTTGAGTGAAAGCTGAAGGGGGTGGGGCAAGCAGGCAGGCACTTGGGAGAAGGGGTCTCCTGGGCAGTGGCCAGGAGGAAGGCTCAAGGTGGGAGCGCAGAAGGAGGTGCCAGGGAGCCCAGGACTAGTGGCAGTGCCAGGACTGTGCTCTTGCAATCTGAGCAAGGGACCCGGCCTCACTGCCTGGTTGAGTTGTGTTGAGGCTGGACCGTGGGCCAGGCAGAAGCTAGGCCATTTGAGAAGCTTCCTGGAGAAATCCAGGCAGAGAAGATGAGGTAGGGACAAGGCGGGCAAGGAGGTGGCGTGCGGTGTGCAGGCCCAGGAGGTGTCCTGAAGGTCGAGTTCCCGACCTCCCCGGATTGGACATAGGCAGGATGGGGCCAGGAGGTGAGCGGCCAGTGGGCAGTGCGTGGGGCAGCGTGTGGGGCTGTGGTGGGCAGTTTGGGGCCCAGAGTTAAAAGTTCAGTTTGGGAGAAGTTGAGGGAGGCACACAGGAGCCGTGAGGGAGGTGCTGGGCACAAGAGCCACTTGGAAAGGCCAGGAGTGGACACTTGGGATCTGTCACAAGGGTGTGAATTTAGTGCCATGTGGTTGCCAAGGGAGGGAGAGTAACAGAGGGTGGAAGTCCAGGATGCGGAGGGGACCTGGGGTGGGGTCCCACAGAAGGAGACACTGTTCAGATCTGGCCCAGAACCACAGGTTGATGGCAGCATGAAGCAGGGCACCCTTGGCCAGAGTGGGTTGGTGGACGTGGTGGGGGCAGGGACCTGTCTGAACAAGGTCCAGGACATGGGGAGGAGGAATGCAACAGTGAGTGTGGAGGGGGAGCAGGTCTGGGAGGTGACAAGTTTTCTGCTTTGGTCAGATGGGAAGCTGGTGGGAGTGGTCTGTGTGGGGGGTCCAGGCTGAGTGACAGGAGGGCCTGGCACCCCGTGTTCAGGAGTTCAGGAGTGCTGCAGGGGGGAGGGGAGGCAGAGTCACAAGCCCATGCAAGGATAAGGGGTGTGTGTGGACATCTCTGGGGTCCCCAAGGAGGCTGCTGATTTGAGTGGGATGAATGGGGGGTGGCAGCATCTAGGGAGGAAGAGAGGGTGGCCTGGTGGGCACATGGCACCCCCTGGGGTCCTGGCTCTGGACTAAGTGAGGCGGGTGGCTGACAGGGCACTTTCATGTGCTGGAATGAGCCTGGGAAAGGGTGGGGTCTGCAGAGCACTGAGACCAGGCCAAAGGAGTGGTGGGGCCAGGGAGGGCCAAGCAGGGAGAGGACACCTGAGGAGGCACCTCCAATGAGGCTGGGTGAGAGGTGAGGCTCAGCCTCCCCCAGTGTATTCTTGTTTAGTTGGCCAGGGATAAGTGGATGGTGGTGCCTGTTGTGCACTGTACAGCTCCAGGGGCAGCAGAACGAGGCCTCCAGAGTGCTCAGGGTGTGACTGGCCTCTGTGCTCCTCCCTCCCACGCCTGCAGTCCTCCAACTGCTTCCCCAACCTGGCCACAGACCTGCCACTGCACCACGCACCTGCCTGCTCCTCCTCCAGCCCTTAAGTCACAGGCTGGAGAAAGAGCAGGTCACCCAGCCTGGTGGCCACATTTTGCAAAAACTGCCACATGCAGGTGCTGGAAAGCCTGCGGGGCATGTGACACTCAACAGAGGACTTTGGACTTGCTGCCACAGGCCATGGGCGGGTGACCTTATTTCATCTTTATGTCAAACACTTCAGTGAGTGTCACAAGCACACCAACTGGACTTGTCCTCCTCCTCTTAGCTTGGCGTGTTTTCTGAATCTTCTACAACAGATAAGGATTGCTTTGCTCAGGAGACAATTCTTATAACTTCTCCCAGCGCTGCCCCTGTCTCTTGCTGTCTCTGTGTCTATGTCGCCTTGTTCTCTCTGGCGTGGGGTCTTCCAGCTGCAGGCTGGAAGCAACAACTTTCTTGAGGCTTTGGTGTCTGCAGCCCACACCCCAACGCCTGTCTTGCTCACATAGCTGATACCTGTTTCTCATCCCCAGGCTCAAGTGTGAGCACATGATCTGCATTCATTGAGTGCCTATTGTATGCCTGGTTCTGATATCCCTTGGGAGGATGGCCTCTGATCTTTGCAGACAGACAAAGAGACCCAGCAGGGAGGTGGCATAGAGCATAGGACACGGTGGGAATGCAGAACTCAGATCAGCCTTGGGGGTGCACAAGGCCACATGAGGACCTGGGACCAAGGAGGAGCACAGTGGTACCTGAAAGCCTTCAAGGGCTGGGGTCTTGGAGGAGTGCAGAGCCCAGCACAGTAATGGCAGAGGCTCAGAGTCAGAGTGGAGCACCCAAGGTGTGGCCAGGGTGGGGCCCTGATAAGCAGGTCTGGCAGGACCAAGTGAGGCCTGAGGCCTGATAAAGTATGGACTTTATTCAGACAGCCACCAGGTAGGAAAGAGGCTGCTAGAAAGAGTGCTTGGGCTGCTGGGCCCCAGGGAGCTGGCCCAGTCGAGGGGCAGGATGTGGTGGTCTTCACTGTAGGGATGGCAGTACTGGGCAAGGGCCAGGGGAACCAGTTTGGGAGTGTCCTGGCTCCTGGCTTGGGGACCGTAGAAAGATATGCTGTGTGAGGTGCTGGTAGGGACATCTTTGGTGGCCCCAGGAAACTGCCACTAACACTGCCTCCCAACACAGTCATCAGAGGAAGCCCTGGAGGCTGAGTATGGTGGGGACCTGTGAGACAGTTTTCCAGAGAGCGCTGGCCACCACCTTCTCGGCCCTTCACCCAACCCACGCCCTATCTGCACACACTTCGTGGTTGCTCCTTCCTTACCAGCTTTTCCGGTTCTCCTGACCACAGCCCTCAGGGTCGAGAAAACCCAGTTCCAGGAACAGCCCTGGGTGGCACAGTGTTGCCCTTGTCTCCTCCTGGGAAATCCCTGGTGGGTCAGCAACTTTGGAGGGCAAGGGTCAGGATGATTATCTGGGGTGACAGTGGGGGACCCTTGTTCTGCACCTGCTTGCATGCCCCTGGGACAGGGAACTCACATCCACGTGGGCTTCACACAGCTGGGCAGGAGGCGGTCCCCACCTAGATGCCTGCTCAGAGCCCTTGTATGGCTTGGGGTTGGAAACCTGTTTCTGCTCTTTCCAGTGGACCCAGAGAAATTGCCCTGGCTTCCTGCCAGGGGTCAGTGTCAGTTTCAGGAAAACACCTTCCTGCCTCAGGCTTGAACAAGCCCTGGGGCAGCCAAGCGGGTGGGTCATCTCGCATTTCTTGGGTTAGTCCGGTTCACAGGGTCTGAAGAACGTGGAGAGCAGCAGGTGGGGTAAGCCCTAAGCCCAAGAGGCGCTTTCCTTAATTACTGGTGTCAAAGAGGCTCAAAATGGGAAACGGGCATCTCTAGCCCTAGAGACAGGAGAGGTGGGCCCTGGGGATGTCCCCACCCCTCCAGTCTGTCTTCTGACCCCTCGCCTGGCATCTCGGCGGGCATGCACGGGGAGTGGAGAAACCAGGCGGGAAGTACTTCGAACACCCTGGAACAAGGCGTCTCCTGCTCCCCAGGAAGCTGGGTCGGCTCCAGCCTCAGTTTCTCCATTGGCCCACTGTCCTTCCTTCTGGAGGGTGGCAGAGGGACGGTGGGAAGTGGGGCCTTGAAAGGAAAACTCGAAGCCTCTGCAGGGAGCCGCCGCGGGATCCTAAACCTGGAGCTGCCCCTCCCTTCCCCCTCCGGCGTCCAGGGTTAGGGCCGGCGGGGCGGGGCCTCAGTGGGCGTGGTCTGGCTAGGGGCGGAGTGGGAGGCCCGGCCGGAGCCAGTACGGGAGTGGGGGTTGACCCAAACGGGGTGTGGCTTCCCGGGACGGGACCGACAGGAGGCGTGGCCTGCCGGGGGGCGAGGCCTATCGGGGCGGGCCCTCGGGGTACTTGGCCCTTGGGGGCGGGGCCTCCGGGGGCGGGACTGGCATCGGCGCGCGGGCTCAGGGTCCGGCAGCGGCGGCGGCGGTGGCCACGGCTCCTTATCCCTGCGGCTGCTTGCGTGCGGGCCAGCCGGTCCGCGCGTCCATCGGTGTGTTTCTGCCGGGGGGCCGAGCGGGCCAAGCCCGCGTGGGGAGCACCCGCCAGCCGCATGGCCGCCATCAAAGCGCTGCAGCAGTGGTGCCGGCAGCAGTGCGAGGGGTACCCCGACGTGAACATCACCAACATGACCACGTCGTTCCGCGACGGCCTGGCCTTCTGCGCCATCCTGCACCGCCACAGACCTGACCTCATGTGAGTGAGGCTTGCCCTGGGCTGGGGCAAGGGGGGCGGGAAGTCAGAAATCAAGGGCATGCCCCGGAGATGGGCCCCCTGGGACTGGGAAGGGCAGGCATCCACAGCACAGCCCACCCCGGCCCAGGCTGCACCCAGCGGCCTCAGTGCGCCGTCCATCAAGGGCAGCTGGGCCACGGCCAGGACAGCCGCCGGCTTAGTCAGTGGTGACTCAGGGCAGTGTCCTGGGCCCCATTAGCCACCCCCCCTCCCTGGGAAAGACCCAGCAGAGCTACCCCTTTGGGCCCTCTGGGACTGGATACTCCCCTGGGGTCTGCAACAAGTCCCTGGCCCTTCCAGGCATCTAGTACAGGTGCTGCCCCTGTCCCCAGCCTGCTCAGGCTCCTGGGAATACAGTCCAGCATCACTGCCCAAAGGGCAATCAGAGCAGAAAGCCCTGAGACCCCACATCCTGTTGGCAGCCTCTGCACCCTGGGGTGATGGGGACACGAGGAGACTGGGTCCCTGTTCCTGGGAACTACAGGAGGTGGGCAGGCCCTCTTCCCCAGGAGGGTCTTGGCATGGGTGGCTGGGAGTCTGGCCCTACCTTGCTGCTGGATCTTGGCCCTCGCTGAATCTGTTCCATCAGTTATTCACTCAGCAAATGCTCTTTGGCTGAGTGGCCAGGACCAGGGCTGGGGTGCGGGTGTGTTTGCCAGGGAGGTTTTTGGGGCTGGCTGAGGCCAGAGGCAGCACCTTCTGGACCTGGCCTCAGGCTCCCTGCTGTGCACAGGGGAAACTGAGGTGGAGGGAGGCGGGCCCTTGCCAGGTCACACAGCACACAGGCTGAGCCAGGGCTGGCACCCTGCTCTTCCCCTGTACCAAGCTTTGCTCTCCCCAGGAAGCTGGGAGTCTTGAGCAAGAGGCTGTGGCTCCTGCCCAAGGTTGTGATGTACTTTTGTGGAGCTTCCCAGGGGATCTCTGTGGGGCACGTTGAAGCCTCTGCTCCCTGCCCAGGCATGAGCCTCAGTTGCCCTTGGACGTGGAGATGTTTCCATGGTGTGGAGAGCCTGAGGCTGAGCTTTGATGGACAGTGGGCCAGGGGCATGGTGGCTGGGAGAGGGACCTGGAGTGGGGAGGCTGCAGGCTGAGCCCCACTGGGTCCAGGGTAAAGCTGGCTGGTGACTCACCCAGGCAGCCCAGATGGGCTAGGGGGCAAGTCCTGAAGCCTTCAAGTGGAGGGAAGATGGGCTACCGTTTGCTGGCCCTGCAGCCTTGGATGGGTGTCACTGGGTATCTGGGGCTTTTCTGACCCTGGAGAGCTTCTGCTCCCAGCTCTCTGGGGTCAGAGGCTAGATGTGCTTGTGCCCCTGGCCCAGCACACACTGCCCACATGGAACAGAGGTGTACACGTGAGTATGCACACGCATGTGCACAAGCAGACACCACGTACCTATTCACTTAACTGATGGCTGCTGAGCACCTGTGGTGTACCCAGCATTGTATAAAGTCCCCAAATACAGTGAGCCCTGCCATCCTAGTCCCAGAGTCGAGCAGTGAGCAGACCAATGACTCAAGGCTCAAAGTGACTTCAGAGAGTGGAGGCCACCACAGGCAGAGGAGGCTGGGTGCAGTGACTTATGGGAGGGAATCACCTTGTGCACTGCTGGCTTGCTTGCTGTCTGTCCCCACTGGTCTGTCACTTGCAGCGGTGGGGGTATCTCTTATTTACCGCGGTAGCCCCTATGCTTGGTGCCCTGTGAGGTGGATGTCTGGCCATAGCTGGAGCCTCACGGGCGAGAGCGCGCACCCCGGGTGCTGTGGATGTAGTGGGGGCCCAGCAGCTATCTGTGGGCAGGAGCAGGAGCTGGAGGAGAGGAAGAGCCGAAGAGACAGATAAGGCATGGTGGGGCTACGAGCCCAGGGGTGCTGGAGCCAGCGGGCCTGGCCTGGCCTTGAGGTTGGGCTTCTGGGCCCTGGACTGAGGAAGTGCGCTCCTCAGTTTGTGGCTCTTTGTTACACAGATGTGGGTTACAACAGGGTTGGTGGCTATTGGCTAATGGGACACCAGAGGGGGGAGCACATGCCTGTCCCTGTCTCCTGCCTTGCCTGGCCTTGCCTCTGGGCCAGAGGTGCCTGGGGCGAAGCACAGTGAAACCCTAAGCTGATCTTTCTGTCCCCAGTAGCTATCAGGAAAGGAGGCAACTTGTGAAGGACAGGTTCTTGGGGGAGCCCTGAAGTCAGAGTTCGGGTGAGACCTTGGTCTGGTGGGACCCAGCCCCCAGGACTCCTGTCTTCTTCTCCTTACATGAAGACCCTCTGGTAGCAGGAAGGTGGACATCCTGTCTTCATATCCCTAGCTTTGCCACCAGGAAGGCCTTCCTTTTGTCTGACCTCAGTCCTTCCTGCTGCTTGCTGAGCATGTTTCCTCTGGCCCTCAGGGGAGAACAGCTGTGAGAGAGCAAGTATAGGGCACTGAGCCAGCCCAGGTGGGGCACCCGGCTCCTGGTTATGCCCGGCAGGTTGGGGGAGTTCACCTGAACTGTATCCCTGCTCCTCCCACTTGCGGATCCGGAAACAGGCAAGTGGGCGGCTCCCTGCCCAGTCAGCTGCCCCACGTGCCCCAGAGCTGTAGAGTGTCTGCAGGCAGCTCTCTAGGGTGCGTGCAGACAGGGTCTGTTTCTACCATGAGCCACAGCTGCCAGCTGCCAGGTGACTCCAGAGCCACCCAGAGCAAACAGCCCCACCCTCCCCTTTCCCTTCTGGGCCTGACCAGGAACCACCCTTGGGCTCTGAGGCAGGCGGGAGCTGGGTGGAAGGAGTGGGCAGCCCCCCGCACCTGCCCAGGGGCCCTTTCGGTGGTCAGGAAACCCTACAGCCCTCCTCTGGGGATCAAGGACGCAGGGTCCATTTTCAGAACTTGGGGGGCCCTGAGGTTGTGCAGATACCCCCTCCCCAGCCTCAGTCATGTGGCAGGGTGACCTGAACATTCTCCAGGCCTCTCCAGCTCTGGGGGCCAGTGGCTGAGGCCAGAAGCAGCGGGTGACTGACCAAACCTTGCAGAGCCCTGGGGTGGTGGCATCCTGTCTGGCAGGACTCCCCCAGGGTCCCCAAGGCTCCAACTCGCCTGTGGCAGGGTCCCCAGGGCTCTCACTCACATGGAGGCCCTGCCTGGAAGCTTGAGAGGCTGCCCTCTCTCCCTCCCGGGCCCCGGGAGGGGGGGTGGCTATGGTGGCTGGGTGACCTCCTCCCCCTCCCACACAGGCCCTGTGGTCACAGGAAGCTGCCTGGGGACAGAGGCCTTCTGTTCCAGGCCTGAGGGCCTGCTGCCCAAGCCCCTGCTGCTGCCTTCCTGCCCGGGCTCTTCAGAATGGCTCCCGCCCCTGGGGGCAGCCCTGGCCAGCGCTGGCCCTGAAGCCCAGCCCCGCTGCCGCCCAGTGCTGTTTGTCTCAGTGTCTCTCTGGGTTTTTGTCCCTGGATCCCGCTCTGCTTTGGAGGTGGGGGCCTCTCCGTCTGTCTGTCTGTCTGTCTTCCTCTGCCCCCATCCTGGTAGGATTAACTCCAGATGTGCTGGAGGTTCCTGGAAGACACACGGCCGGGATCTTTCCCTCCCTGTCCACCCTGCATGGCTGCATTTGTCCTGGGAAACATGGGACCCGCCATCTGGGAGCAGGAAAGGGGGTTGACATTCCCAAAAGCCCCCCCGCCCCTCCCCGGGTGCCTGGGCGGGAGCATCGCCTTCCCTGGCTGAAGTTAACACTCTGTGGGGCCTTGGTGGCCTGCGGGAGGCAGGGTTGTGCCTTGGTCTGGCCAGGCTGGGCACACACTGGGCATAGTTGGCAGACACGCGTGACTGGCCACTGTAGGCCCCGCGGTCTCATCTGTCCTGCCGGTGTTCAAAGAACCAACGATGGCCGTGGAACCCCTACTCTGCAGACACAAGTGGACTCCTTCATCAGCAAGCATGAATAGAGCACCAACTGTATACCTGGCCCTGGGGTCCAGGTACCAGAAAAACCTGACTTTAAATGATGAGGGTTGATGCGACCACCTTTGTCAAGACGCTGTCCCCAAGCGAGGTCGTGTTTGGATGTCCCCGGGGTTTGCACGCCCACATAACTTTTTGGGAGGAAACAGTTCAGCTCGTGACGTCAGGTGTCCTCCGCATGGGTCCTGGCCATGTGGACTTCCTGGAGGGATGGGTGGGGTTCCCACTCTGGGGGTTTCCGCCAGTGCATGGCCTCTCAGTTCAGCCCCTTAGGGACTAAGGTGACGCCACCTGCCCTTGCGCTGAGAGGGTGAGCTCAGGCCTCAGTGAGACACAGGCAGGAAGCAGCCTGGACGTGGTCCCGAGGGTCAGCAGTTCACGTGTGCCCGACCTGTGCCTTGTGCCCTGCTCAGAGTGCCAGTCCCATCGCAGGGACCCTGGGGTGCCTGACCTGCCTGGAGCTGTGGACGCTCACTCTGGGTTGGGGAGACAAGATGGCCCTGCAGGAGGGAGCCTGGGCCCTGGTAGATGAAGCCACATGCAGAAGGCTGGCGACCTCCTGCTTTGTTTGGAGACTAAACAAATAGTTCTCCCGCCTGCCCCACAGTGAGTGGCCTCTGCTGGACTCCAGCCTGCCCTTTGCAGTGACCTGGGATCTGGAGAAGACTTGACTTCCAAGGGAATGTGAGGTGGGGGAGGGGGGGACCGGGCTTCTATCCCCAGATGCTGAGGAGAAGTAGGCAGGGTGGACCTGGGGGCTGGGCCTCCACCCACATGCTCCTGGACACGCTTGGGGCCCACTGGGTGGGGATGGACCCCGTGGACAGTGCCCAGGCAGACTGGACAGAGGCCACCCAGCCTTGCAGGTGCTGAAACCCACCCTGCTGCTGTCATCTGTCCAGCCGTCTCCTCACCGGAAGCCCCTGTGCTTGCTCGTGGGTGGTCTGGACATCTGGGACGCATCACCTGGGGGGTGGTCCTTGCCACCAGGGTTGGAGGCCCCCCCAACGCTGGGCAGATTGATGGCTGGCTGGGACCCTGTGGTGTGGGTGGCCCGCGGCCTGCCTGGCCGGCTTGCTCATCTGAACAATGGGCACAGCCTGGCTCTCTGAGGGTTAGCAGGGCCTGACCTCTGCTGCCGACTGGGCTGGGAGACAGGCTGTCCCAGCCAGGTGGCCCCGGGTGACCAGCGCCTCCTCTCCTCCACCTGACCTGCCAGCCTTGCTGTTACGCGGCTCTGGTCTTCTTGGGGCCAGGGGAGCTGAGGGCCCCAGCGAGGATGCCTTGCAGGTCAGGTGTGGGGCCTGAGCCTCTCTCATGTGCCAGGAGGCTTCTGGAACAATCCAGCTCCTGACAGTGGTCACTGACAGCCACTGGACGGGTCACAGTTTAACCTGGCTCAGAGCGTCCCCCAGGCGTGGGGTGGGCCGTGGTGTGTGGTCCTGGGCACGTTGGGGAGGGCGTGTGCAGTCCTGGAGTTGGCCATCGGTGTGCCGTGTCCAGGCTGGCTGGGTCCTTGCCTCCAGGAGGCAGGAAGGGCTCTGATGGCCTCATTCCTGAGGGTCTGTCCTCCCTGGAGGAGTTGGAGCGCCTGGTGGGCACTTGGTCACGCCACTCCATCCTGGAAGAGGGAGTACCTAGACTCTGGAGCCGTGGCCTGGTCCACCTCCCACCTCCTGCTGTGTGATCTGAGCATGTCCTGCAGCCTCTCTGTGCCCAGTTTCCTCATCTGTGAGATGCAGACATGCTCAGGGTCCACTCTGTAGGACAGGCGGGGGTGGGGAGAGCAGGTGTTGGTGGAGAACAGAACGGCACCTCTCTCGTGAAAACAGGAGCAAATGATGGGACTGACGGTCGGGCACTGTGGTGGCCTGGCCTCCTGACTTTCCATCCCTCTCTTGTCTCGGTCCCTTGCCCTGGGACCTCTCATGTCCACCCCATCTTTCTGTCCTTGAGAACATTGTCCTCTCTGGCCCACCATGTCACCATGTCAAACTTGGTATTGGAAGCAACCTTATTCTGAGCTGTGTTTTTGGCTGGGCTGCCCTGGGCTGGTGGCTTTGCCTCTCTGGTCCTGTCTTCTGCCACCTCTGATTGGGGCAGGATTGGTGTCAAAGGGCTCAGCCTCCCCAGGGACTGGAGGTGAAGGCCGAGCTGTAAGGACCACCCTGGGCGGTCTGTGCCCAGGTGAGGGGCGGCAGCAGTATCGTAGGTGCTGGGTCGCTTCACTGGCCAAAGCAGGCCGGTAGCCCAGCTTGGGGCCCCCTGCAGCCCCAAGTTCTCTCCGCTCTGGAGCCTGTCTGTTCCTGCCCTCTCCTGGCCTTGGCTTCTGCATCTGGGGAGGCCCCGCTGGCCCCTGCCCTCCGCACTCTGAGCTGCTTTGGATACAAGTTTTTTTTTTTTTTTTTTTTTTTTCAATCTTCCAGAAACTTCAGTGCCCTCCGGAAGGAGAACATATATGAGAACAACAAACTGGTGAGTCCCCCACCTTGTCCTGCCCTCCCAGCCCAGCCTCTTCCCCTGGCTGCACGGGTCCCCTGAGGGCCCGACACAGCTGTCCAGCTCAGTGGCCAGCCCTCCGCTGGGTGACCCGGCATTCCAGGAGTGGCCTCTGATCCTGGAGCCCAACCCCTCTGGTCCTCTCTCTTCCTCAGTAGGGTGGTCAGGGGGCAGGGAGTGGCCAGGGAGCATCCTTCCCTGAAGGGGACCTGGTCTAGCCACCCAAGATGGAGAGGGGTCCCAGGAGGCTGAGGGAGGGCCAGGCCTGGCAGTCCTGGGTAGGCCTCGTGGAGGTCAGCAGGAAGGACATCCCAAGGCCAGCGACCACAGGGGCAAAGGCCCTGAGCCGGAGGGCACCTGGCTGGGTGGGCGGCCGGGGACAGGGTCTGGGGCCTGTGGGTGGATCATCAGGGCAGACAGAGCCCTCCTGGCTGGGATACCCCTAGGGCCCTGGCCTGGACTAAGTGGGGCCTGTGAGCCCAGAGAAGCTTTTGTGTGGCCACCTTTGGTGGATGGGTGCTGGCCCTGGGGGTGGGAGCCACCTGCGGCCATGGCTGGGGGATTTGATTTCCAAGTGAGCCCAAGAGTCGGGGGGTGGTGGGCAGCGAGTGCTTGGGGACAGCCTCTGGGGGGTTGTCTGCTGGAGGGAGGCAGTGGACACTGCGGAGCCGGCCAGGGAGGCACTGAAGCTCAGATGGGCCATGTTCAGCATGCTGCAGGTGCTCTACAATGCACATTTCCTGGCCCTCCCCAGCCCAGTGTCTTGTGTCCCATCTTAGCCTCAAATGTCTCCTCCCCATGGTTCAGGCTGCTAGGACACAGGCTGCTCTTGTGTCCCTGTTGGCCCTGGAGGCCCCGGATGGGTGTTGGCCGTGCCCACAGAGAGGCTCCTCTCTGACTGGACAGGGTCTGGCGTCACAGGGCTGGGGGCCACAAGGCGCTCAGGGGAGGCTCCGGGAAGATGTGAGGTCCCCCAGCAGAGCCACCAAGTCTGGTTCCCCTGAGCAGCTTCAGGAAGCTGGAATCCTGGTCCCTTACCCAGGGGGGCGGGCAGAGCCCCCGGTCTCCCGGGCGGGCAGGGCTTCCTGGGCTCCAAGCCTGTGTCCTGCCTTGCTTGGGCCTTGGCTCCCGGGTGGACTGGGACCAAGGACAGGGGCTCTCTTGGCCTGCTTCCTGCTGACCCCTGCCCACCTTCTAGGCCTTCCGTGTGGCTGAGGAGCAGCTGGGTATCCCAGCCTTGCTGGACGCTGAGGACATGGTGGCCCTGAAAGTGCCTGACCGGCTGAGCATCCTGACCTACGTGTCCCAGTACTACAACTATTTCCACGGCCGCTCCCCCAGTGAGTCCCTGCCCCCTGGCCTGGGCCTGGCCGCAGGAAGGAGACCAAGGCCTGGTCGGTCCTGGGCTCTCCCCGGGTTTCCTTGGGACGCCCTTCTTGGGGCCACCAGATCCATTTATGCTGTAGCCATGTGGCTCTCCCCCTCTTGGGGCCCTGCCCAGCCCCCCAGTGTCCTGACATCCCACACTGTCCCACATTGGGTGGGGGGCTGGGTTATGGCCCTGACGCAGGGAGGAGGCCTTTCTGGGGGTCATATTGTGTGTGGGGCCCCCGAGGCTGTGATTTCCTCTAAAGAGACTGTGGGCTTGTCCCAGTGGAGCGCCCTGGGTCCCCCAGTCCCCAACTGCTGTGCTGGGGGTGGCGTGGCTCCTGCTCACCCCTGTTCCCAGTGTATCCTCCACCCCGGGCCACCCTGCCCATTCAGACCCCTGTGCTTCCATGCCCATGGCCCATCAGACCCCCCAGTGTCGTCCCGACTCCGGGGCCTGGGGAGGCTGGGCTGTCCCAGACAGGGTGACAGGCCGGGCCTCTCCCCGGCCCTTCACATGTGGCGCTGCTCCGTCCTTCGCCCCCACATTCCTCCTCTAGGCTCCAGAAATCCCCGGAATTGCGCTGGGCCCAGGGCCAGCCCTGCCTGATGGAGAAAAGAAAAGTCCCTTTTGCCTGACCCCAAATCGGGCTCTCAGTGGGGACGGGGTGTGGGCCAGGCTGTCCTGGGAAGAATGTGCCCCAGGCCACCCCACCCAGCAAGGGCCCCGGGAGGTCCACCCCACTCCTCCCTGGCACCCAGCCCTGTGCTGGACACCAGAGCCTCTGGGGGGACCCAGGACCTTTCAGAGCGAGGGTGGCAGCTGCTGGGAACCCCTGACCCGTGTGTCTCGTGTCAGTTGGGGGCATGGCTGGTGTGAAGAGGCCCTCGTCAGACTCCGAAGAGGAACCTTCTGGGAAGGCCCCATGCCAGCCGGCCAAGCTGCCCGCGCATGCCCCATGCCAGCCGGCCAAGCTGCCCGCGCATGCCCCAGCTCGGGGGCCACCACTCTCTCCAGCTAGGACAAACCCCGTGGTCCAGAGGAAGGATGGGGGCTCCGAGGCCTCGTCCCCGAAGACTGTAAGCACCCAACCAGGCCTCCCTCTGGTTTCCCGCCAGCACTTGTGGGGCTGTGTGTGGCCCAAAACCACAAGGCCCGTGGGGGGCGGCTCCCCGGGGTCCAGAGCATGGACAGCTGCTGCTGTATGTGTGGCACCTCCTGGGGCTGGCTTCCTGTCCCCCGCCGCCCCCCTCCACTCCTTTAAGTCTGCACAGCTGAGATGATCACCCCCATTATACAGACAGGTAAACTGAGGCCCAGGGAGGCCATGCAGGTGGAGCAGAGTCCAAATCCAGACCTTTCTGGGCTCACGCAGGCTTCTCCCTTCCCTGTGGGGATGGGCAGGGCCCCAGCTGGCCCTTCATTCCCAGGCCAGCTGGGCTGTGAGAGTGGGCTCCACTTCCCAAAGGTGGAGCCGAGGGATGGGCTTGGGCGCCCCCTGCTGTCCCTGGGTGATCCCTCGGGCTCTGAAGAGCTGGAGCCTCACATACTGGAAATGGGCTTGGACCCCTGTGCCCCAGCTGGGGAAAGGAGGTCTGTCCCCTGGCCCCTGTCCCTTCCCCAGGACCACTGAAGCCAGGCGTCCGCTGCCTCCCGGGGCTGGGCTGGAGGCCCTGAACTTGGATCCTTGACTGGCCCCTTGCTTGCAGCTCTTCAGGGGCTTCCCTTTCCGCTCTGAAAATGGCATCTCCAGATGCCAGGGGCAGCTGGCGCGGGGACGGGAGGGTAAACGTGCCCTGGCTGAGTCGGGAGCCTAGAGAGATCCGGCCCAGGCTCAGCAGCTCCTGCACCTTCCCAGGGCCCCGCGGTGGCAGGAAGCTCGGTCAGCAGCACCTGTGGGGTCTGCGGCAAGCACGTGCACCTGGTGCAGCGGCACCTGGCTGACGGGCGGCTGTACCACCGGAGCTGCTTCAGGTAGGCCCTGCCCCGTGCCCAGGTGGGCACCGCCCTGCTCCCACTCCTCCCTGGCTCCTGTCCCTCCCACCCGGCCACATCCTCCTCCTCAGTCTCACCAGTGCCTGGTGGCCAGAGGCGCCCAACTGCTCCCGGGCACCCAGGGTCTGATGTAGTCCCCCAGTGTCCCCTGGGAGATACCCTTTGACTGCCCTTACAGACAAGCTGACCCCATCTCCCTAGACCCTCGCAGACCTTCACACTGGGGCTTTCTGCCATGTGGCCGTTGACAGCGCCCTCTGCGGCCACCCTGTGGCTCTCAGGCTAGGGACTCCCAGCAGGCAAGCCCCAGGGGCCTCCATCTGCGAGACTGGGGATGGGTCAGCCCCCAAAGTGGGGCATAGGGTGGCTTGTGCGTGTGCTGACAGGAACACTCTCTGGGGCTCCCACACGCCCCCAGGGAGATTCTCAGTGGAGCCTATGACTCATGGTGGTTATGGACATGAGAAGAGGGTTTGTTGAATGACTCAGTGACCTCATGTGTAGACATGTGGAGTACGTCCGTGTGTGCTCTTGGGAAAGCATGAACAGTGAGCAGCTGAAGGAGTGACCAGAGCCCCTGTGACCTTCTCATGCAGGTGCCAGCAGTGTTCCAACACACTGCACTCGGGGGCCTACCGAGCCACAGGGGAGCCGGGCGTCTTCGTCTGTACCAGCCACCTCCCCAGAGCTGCCTCTGCACAGCCCACACTGCCAGGCCCAACCTCCAGACAGACGGGGGCCGTCCCTGGGCACGCCTGGCCCCCCAGTGCCCCCCAGAAGGCCCAGGAGACAAATGGGCTGAGAGAGGCAGCCCCAAAGGCCAGGCCCGTGGCCCAGGGGCCTGTAATAGGCAATGCGACCGCCAAGGGCTTTGTTCCCGCGGCACGGGACCCTCCAGCCACCTCCTCTCCCATCCATGGGAGGAGCCCAGCGGGGCCCAGGCTGTCCACGAGCCGAGTGACCTCCTCTGTGGACGGCAAAGTCAGCACACGGGTGACCAACAGCTCCCCAGTGGGGTGGTCGTCTCCTGCTCAGGGTGCAGTGGCAGCCAGCTCGCGTCCTACTGTGTCCCCAAGTGCCCCGGACCTTCGTCCTGCCACACCGCAAGGCCGGGGGACCCCCCAAGTGGCATTGGCCCAGACCAAGCTGCTTTCGAGCTCAGGGTCCCCAGGCCCGGCGGACCCTCCGGCCTGGACCCCCTCGGCCTCCAGGACCCAGCAGGCCCGAGAGAAGTTCCTCCAGACGCCAGTGTCCCCCAGCAGTGGCCCAGCAAGCAAGGGCCCCGCTGCAGCGGATGCCTCTCCCCGGGACAGCTGCAGAGAGCAGGCCCTGAGCTTCCTCAGGAAGGCCCTCCCGGGGCTGGAGCAGGCTGGCACCCAGGCACCCAGCAGGTAAGTGGAGGAGGGGACCTAGGGCACAGTCACGGCTTGTCCACGGCCACGGAGGCCCCCAGGAGGCCAGAGGGGTTGGAGGGCCGCTGGGGGTCCTGGGCCCTGCCCTTCCTGGCCTTGTGATCACAACAGCTGCATTTCCCCAGCCTCGGTTTTCTCTCCTGGGAAATGGGGAGAGAATTCCAGGAGCGGCTGGGCTTGGTGATGGGCTGTCATTGGCACAGGCTCAGGGTCTTCCATGCGATGACATTGCCACCAGGGTCTGCTGTGGGGCACACACAGGTCAGTTCAGAGGACCCTGCACCTTTGTAGACGAGAGAACAGGTTGGGTCCAGGGTTCCCACTGGCCGGTCTGAACTGGCCGTCTGACTGGCGCATGTGCAATGCCTTCCCCAGGACCCTGAGCAGATGGCAGAATGTGGACGGTCACTGTCAGTGTCTGGAGTTGCTCACTGGGTGGCTTTAATGGCACAAGTGTCCTCTCAGTCCTGGAGGCCAGCAGTCTGGCTTTGGGCTGTCGGCAGGCTGTGGCCCCCGGGAGGGCCCAGGGCAGGAGCCTCCCGTCTTCGGGTGCAGAAGGCTCTCGGTGTGCCTTGGCCTGCGGCCACTTCTCTCCATCCTGCCCGCGTGTCTCCTCTGTCTCTCAAAGGACCCTGCTCCCGCCAGACCATATCGTAATGTGACCACATCCACAAGGCCCTTTGTCCACATAAGGTCCCACTCTGAGCGTCCCTTTGGGACGTGAACTTTGGGAGGCCCTGCTCCACCCAGCACAGTCTCCCAGCGAGTAAGGAGACCCCTCCCAGCTGGTGACATGCTGTGCCTGCTGCCTGTGTGACCCCTTTATGCATTTTTTAGACCTGCTTGGTTGCAGCCCACACTGGTGCCCAGACTCCCAGGGTGGTCACGGGGATGGGAGGAGGGTGGGTCCACCTGCCTTTCCTGGGGACACCCCAGCGGAACAGAGCTCCAGGGTCAGGGAGGTGCCTGTGTCCCCACCCTGGGCTCCGCATGCCAGCAGCCTGGGCTTCCTGCATGTGTCTGCGTCCGAGGCAGGGCACGGTGGCCCCAGCCCATGCAGCCCGTGTGAAGGCCTTGTACTCCTCTGGGCCACGCAGCTCTGAGGGTGCAGCTGGGCAGGCCCAGGCCAGCCGTGGCTCTGGGCAGGGCCTCCACAGCGCAGTCCCTGGTGCTCCTGGGTCCTGGCCTCCATGTGGGGTGTGTTTGGGAACATTTTTAATCTCAGCCAATGCTGGCTTTAGTGGCAGATCAGCCACCAAGGTATACAAGTGCCAGAAATCGATGCCTGTGGCCCATCCTTTGCCGGGGGGGCTTGTGCTCTTGGGGATGGACGCTGGGAATTAGCTTTGGGAGAGTCTGTGCAGCTTCTGCCTGGGACACTGAGAGAGGATCCTGGATCCTGCCCTGCCTGATGCCTAATCTTTTACCCACAGGCCCTCCCCAGTCACCACTCCTGCCCGCAATCCCCATCCCCAAACTGACAGGCCACAAGCGATTCCCGCAGCCCAAGCCTCACATTCAGCGGCTCCCCAGGCTCGTAGCCCCCCTTCAAGGACGGAGCTGCCTCCCCCACTGAGTGTGGGCAGCACATCAAGGCCATCGCCCCAGGCTGGCAGAAGGAACTTGACCGTGTCCTCCAGGGTCAGCTGGACAAGTGCTGTCTCTAGGCCGAAGCCGGAGGCCCCGCCTGAAAAGGGTAAGAGCCTTTTTAATGTGGGGTGCGGAGTCAGGGGTGAGGGCTGCTGGACTCCTGCCCTTCTCCCTGGGCTGCGTCCTGTGTTTCTGCTGTCGCACAGCCCGGCCCTTGCTCTTGCTCCTGGACCCTGTGATTCTCTGGTGACACCAGCCTCATAGCTCCCCTGGATCCTTGCTTGCTCCCATGTGGCTGTGACACGTGTCTGCAGGGCCTCACTGTCACCATGTGCCACTCAGTGTCTGCTTCCTCTTGCCGGTGCCCAGCCCAGTCCCTAAGCTTCTGTCCTCAGTCGTGATTCTGGGTGGTGCCCAGTGCCAGCTCTGTCCCTAGTGTGAGGCTCGCACCTGTCATGATGTCCCCCATGAAGATCTGCTGCCCCAGGCCCAGCCCTTCCTGGAGGCTCAGGGGCACGTGCTGCTTCCGGTCTCAGGGCGGTGAGACTCTGGTCCTGGAGCGTTTTCCAGACATGTTCTGGGTGGATCTCGGAGGTTCCTGTGCCACCATCAGGCAGGCTCAGAGCTTTCAGATGGCACTGTGCAAATTGTTTTTCTGGATCTTTCCATCCCTTTGGCTGAGCCCCTCAATAAAGCCACCGTCAGGTCTGAGCCAAGAAAGCTGGTAGACGGACAGCTCAGCTGAGCTGTTCCCTTCCATGGGCACACGAGTGACCAGGGCTCCCCCGACACACCCCTGCCCTGATGGCAGAAGAGGAGGCGAGGCTCGGAGTGGCTCCATCTCTAGATTCTAGCCCAGGCTTCTTCCTGAATGCCGGATGCCTCTGGGGGCCTCGGAGGGTGGGTGGCTGCAGGAAGACAGGAGGGGGAGGCCCTGTGTTCTCAGGACAGGGCAGACCCCTCTTATGAATTGTCTCCTTGGCCCTTAACCCGCTTCGTCTGCCCAGGCCCAGGTGCCAGCCCCCAGGAAAGCCAGGAGGACAGGCCAGAAGAATGGAGGGCCCGCCTGAAGCCTGTGGACAAGAAGACCCCCGCTGGCAGGTGAGGGGCTGGTGGGCGGGGCTCAGCCAGCCTGGACCCGCTCCTGTGTCCGGTGTCTGCAGCATGGGACCAAGTGGGCACAGGGTCTGGGCCAAGGTGCTTGAGGGCACACGCCAGCAGATGCACGCACCACGGCTCCAACAAACACATGTCACTTGTGCCCCTCAGGTGTACGTAACAAAAGCCGACTCACACCAGACAGATGACAGGCACCATTTCACACCACCTGAGTGACAGGGGAATACTCACACCAGCTGAGCTACAGAGACCACTCACACCAGTTGAGTGACAGGGAACAACTCACCAGCTGAGTGACAGGGGTCTGTTCACACCAGCTGACTTACACCTGCTGAGTGGCAGGGGACAACTCATACCATCTTGAGTGTCATAGAATAACTCACACCAGCAGAATGACATGGGGACACATCCCAGATATCAGGCAGCGGGGCAGATGTCCACTCCTGGACATGGCAGCTCACGTGCGCGTGCACACGGGGTCCTGGGCTCGTGTCTGGTCACCCGTGACTACCTGAGCCTGTACTCACGTCTGGGGGGTTCACAGGTGAGTGTGCCCCGAGGGGTCTTGAGCTGGGATGCAGGTGATCACCCAGAACATTCCAGGCGCCCTCTCTCCAGGCTGCCTGCCTCTCTCCTGTCCGCCTGTCCTCTGGGAGGCTCTCCAGGGGCCCAGGCCTGCGCTGATGGGGCGGTGGCTGACCCTGAGCCTTCTGCCCAGGTCTTTGGATCTGAGGGAGCCGCGAACCCCGGCAGAGCTGAGGGCGGGAGAGGCCCTCGGGAAGGTCTCGGGCGACTCCACTGGGGGTGTCTGCATCACCCTGACCCCTGTGCAGCCTGAGGGGACACCAAGACCCGTCAGCCCCAGGTCTGGCACCTCAGGTAATGCCACAGGGACCCGGGGCTCCAGGCGCCTGGGGGGTGGGGTGTCCCCAGCTGGAGGAGGGCAGGCACTGCGCGTGTGGGTTCTGGATGGGGCTCGGGTGCACGGCTCAGGTGTGGGGAGTGCGTGCGGGTCAGTCAGGATGCTGCCCTTTGTGGGTGGACGTGGCCAGCCTGGGCAGCATGCGGGGGTCTTGAAGGGCTGGTCTCTGTGTCGGCCAGAGGGGCCCAGGGTGTTGTGATGTCAGCGCTCCTGGCCTGACACGTGGCTCTGTCCCCTGCCTGTGGGCAGCCCCTCCCCCCTCCCCCACCCTGGTCCATCGCAGGAGACTGGCCATCCCTGCCAATCTCGATGTTTCTGCTGACTGGCTGCAGCCAGAGCCCTCTGGGCAGGAAGCCCTGGCCAGAAACTGGAAGGAGGAGAAGCCCCATCCTGAGGGCAAACCAGGTCAGCCCCAGAGCCGTGCTCCTATTTGGGGTGTAGACCAAGGAGGCTTCCTGGGGAGGACACGCTTCCTGGGGCTTTGGAGGATGTGTAGGAGCTCACTGGGCCGAGGCGGCCTGGAGGACCAAGTCTTTTTTGTGAATAGGGTGGCAGCACTGTCCTGGCAGCCTGAGAGTCTGGGGTGGCCAGGGGTGCTAGAGGGGTGTGTCTGTCACTGCTGATCCAGAAGAAGGTGGGGACATGGCGGGATGGGTTCTGGGTTGGCCTGTGCGAGCTCTTGACCTTTGGGCACCAGCAGGGACTGCCCAGGTACCTGTGGCTGGGGCAGGCAGCTGGGTAGCAAGTGATGCAGGGGACATCCAGGAGGTGGGCCTAGCAGCCCTGGGTCAGACCAGTCCAGGCCACGTCCAGGTCTCCCTGGGCCTGGTGCCCTATGGCCCGGGAGTTCAGCCTGCCCCTTCTCTAGGGAGGCCCTTGGGCCCGGCGGGTGTGCCCACTCAGCCCGGCAAGAAGGTGACCTCCCCCGTCAGGGTGAGTAGACTGTCAGTGGTGGCCCTGGAGCCTGGACCCCACGTCCCCCACTGCACTTGGTCCTTAGCTACACCCAACTGTCCCCCTCCCTCCCTCGGTCCCTAGCTGCACCCTGACTACATCCCCCAAGAGGAGATCCAGAGGCAGGTGCAGGACATCGAGAGGCAGCTGGACACCCTGGAGCTCAGGGGCGTGGAGCTGGAGCAGCGTCTGCGGGCAGCAGAGGGAGGTGAGCGGGCCCTGTCCCTCCTGAGTGCCTGCCTGGCAGCCAGCTCTCCCCCGGGGAATGTCCTTGGCCCTGGGACCTGAACCAGACGGAGACCCCTTGTGCTGGGGGGGTTGGCTGGGAGCCGGCAGTCCCTCCGTGTCCAGCCAGCTTCTGTCCCCAGATGACACGGAGGACAGCCTCATGGTGGACTGGTTCCAGCTCATCCACGAGAAGCAGCTACTGCTGAGGCTGGAGTCGGAGCTGATGTACAAGTGAGTGTCCCGCAGCCCGGGGCCAGGGGCCTGCCCAGAAGGGGCGGTGGGGCAGGTCAGGCCAGGCCTCAGACCTCTGTGTCCGGCAGGTCCAAGGACCAGCGCCTGGAGGAGCAGCAGCTGGACCTCGAGGGTGAACTGCGACGGCTGATGGCCAAGCCTGGTGCGTCCTGTGCCCCTCCTGCCAGGAAGGCCAGCCTGGGGGCCCCAGGGCGCGGGCCAGCAGGGGTGGCAGGCCTCAGCCCCAGGCCGGCAGGAGGGATGCGGGCTCCCCAAGCCATGCTGCTGCCCCCGTGGGAGGCTGGTGGTGTTGCGAAGGGGCCCGAGCGGGCAGGGCTGGCTTTGAGTCCCCAGTCCTTCCCTTCCTGGCCGTGTGTCCTTGGCCACATCGCTTGGCCTCTGCGTCTGGCTTCCATCCTCCCCAAACGCAGCCACATGGCACCCTTCACAGCTGGTGTGGGACAAAGAGAGGGCAGTGGTGAGGCGCGTCCCCCAGCGGCCATGACTACCCTCCCTGTCCTTGCCGTGGTTGCAGCCTGCGCCTGCCTCTGTGTCCCACTGTGGCCAGCACTGTGGGGGAGGCTCAAGGGACAGGGTCCAGCATGCAGACGGGTCAGTCCCTTCTGCCACCTGCTGGCCTGGAACCTGCTTGGGGGCTCACCACCCACCTTCCCTTGAGGAAAGAAGCCCACACCTGGGCAGGTGACACTGTCCCCCAGCAGATGGGGATGCCCCTGACTGGCTGTCCTTGCAGAGGCTCTGAAGTCACCCCAGGACCAGCAGCGGGAGCAGGAGCTGCTGAGCCAGTATGTGAACACGGTGAATGACCGCAGTGACATCGTGGACTTCCTGGACGAGGACCGGCTCCGGTGAGGGCAGGATGTACCCAGGGGAGGGCAGGGCTGAGGGGCTGGGGAGCGTCGCCCTCCGGAGTGCCAGGCCCCTCCCGGCCAGGCTGCCCTCACTGTGCACCTTCTGCCCCCCAAGGAGGAGGGAGGCCTGTGCGCTCAGGCGCGTCCCTTAGGCGCGTCCCTTAGGCGCGTCCCTCACACGGGCACCTCACGCCACACAGGCCTCCCAGGCCACCATCTCAGTTCCCGGCCACAGAGCTCCTTCTTGCCCCAGGTCCCCGGCCTTCAGGGTCAGCGTTGTCCAGAGGAACTTTCTGCTCTGAGGGAAATGTCCCCTTATCAGAACGGTCCCCCATGAGCCCCTGGCCACGTGGTTATTGGTCGCTTGTCCTGTGGCCTGCGCAGTTGGGAGCTGGATCTGAAGTTTTGTTTTTGATGTGAGTTTTCACAGCCGCGAGTCTTCTGGCAACAGTGCTGGGTCGTGTGGCCTCGGGGCTGTCCCCAAGGACCTTTCCTGTCTCATGTCCCAGATGAGGGCCTTGTCCGGTCCACACAGGGTCAGCAGCCAAGGCTGAGCCCATGAGGGGGCCTGAAGGCACTTCCTAGGGCCCCTGCTGTCCCTATGTCAAAGTTGGGGTCAGCCTAGGGCCCCTGCTGTCCCAGGTCACTGGTGTGGTCAGCCCAAAGCTCCCTGCTGTCTCCAGGTCACTGGTGTGGTCAGCCCAGGGCCCCTCTGCCCTAGATCACTGGTGTGGTCAGCTCAAGTCCCCTGCTGTCCCAGGTCACTATTAAGGGGCTAGGCCTGGAGAGGGCAGGGGTCCACCTGGTGGGGAGAGTGGTATCAAGCTCTGGCCTCTGGGTCTGGAGAAGGCAGATGGCCCCAATCAGGTGGGGCCAGGGCTCTGGTGAGAGGGGACCAGAGACAGTGTGCCTCCCTTGCCCTGTCCAGGGCCTGTCCCCTCATGGCCACCCCATCTGTGTTCCAGGGAGCAAGAGGAAGACCAGATGCTACAGAACATGATCCAGAAGCTGGGTACCTCAGGTCAGCAGTGTGGGCGCAGGGGCGGCTGATGGCTGGGGATCCGTGTGGGGCACTGGCCGGGGCATTTCACGGTACTCAGTGGGGTGGTCACGCTGAGGATGGGGTGCAGATCTCCTCGGGCCCTGGAGACCCTGGTGGGTGGGAGGGAAGGACTCCCCACAGGGACTCGTGTGGGCAGCGGCCAGCATGGAGCACAACCTCACTCTCCTTCCTCTCCTCAGGTCTCCAGAGGAAAAAGTCCAAGTTCCGCTTTCCTAAGATCTGGTCCGCTAAGAGCAAGACTGGTCAACCCGAGTGAGCTGCCCGGCAGGGGCTGCAATTGCCTCCCTGGACCTTGGCCCAGACCGTGCATCTAGGCTGGAGGAGGGACTGGACTGGAGGAGCACTCTGGCCACAGGGCCTGTGCCTCCCTTTCCTCGTGGCTTCCAAAAAGAAACTAGCTGGGCGCTATGGCGCACGCCTGTCATCCCAGAGACATGGGAGGCTGAGGCAGGAGGATCGCGAGTTCAAAACCAGCCTCAGCAAAAAGAGAGGCTCTAAGTAACTCAGTGAGACCCTGTGTCCAAATAAAATACAAAACAGGGCTGGGGATGGGGCTCAGTGGTCGAGTGCCCCTGAGTTTAATCCCTGGTACCAAAAAAAGAAACTGACTGATGTCCCTGATGTCCTCCTCCACATTCCTTAGGTGAGCTGGGGGCCCAGCACCAGGCCCAAGGGCCCTACCTCAGTCCAGCTCTACCCAGAGGGGATGAGCTCTGTGGCCCTGAGTAGCAGCTGACCCTCTCTGGGCCTTGCCTGCGCTCACTGAGAAGGGTGCTCTGCCTCCTGGCTGCATGGAGAGGCTGGACATGAGCTTTGTGTGTGTGTGTGTGGGGGGGGGGCTGTGGAACTGAACTCAGACGTGGCCCCCAGGAGACGTGCACCTCAGGGCCTGACATCTGAGACCTTGGCTGTTCCAAACACTGGTGGCCGGGCCCAGGAATGGAAGACCCCTGGGTAGGGAAGGGTGTGACTGGCCATAGGAACTCAGGACCACGGTCTGGGAGCTTAAAGATGCCCAGTGCAGGCAGAGAGGCCAGAGGGAAGAGTCGGGAGGCAGACTGCCCGAGTGGTCACCAGGCCTGGGCCAGGTGCTCCAGCGTGGCCTGGTTCCCTGGGCCCTGGGCCTGTGAGCAGTTCTGAGCAGAGGCCCCGGAGCCTGTGTGTACTAGGGGGAAGCAGGAGGGGCTTGGGCAGTGGGCTGACGTCGCAGCTGAGCCTCTGGGGCTCCCCAGACCAATGTCCTTAGATCTGACCCACCTGGGGACCTGTGGCAGTGTGGCATCTTGGCCACCAGGGGGAGGCAGAGTGCCACGCAGCAGGGATGGGGCAGCCTGGCGCACCCCCAAAGCAGCTCCATTTTTCAGATAAGGAAATCGAGGCTCAGAGAGGTGATACAATGTCCTGAAGCTGCACAGCACATTATATGCAAGGCCGGGGACTAGAACCTGGGGTCAACCTCTGGGCTTCTAGACTGTGCCCTTGAAGGGCCGTGAGTGCTCCTGGGGGGTGAGTCAGGAGGGGAGCCATGGGGCTTTTGGACAGGGAAGACAAGGGTGTCCAGATACTACCTTGGGCACCTGGGCTGGGCCTGCTGGGGCCACACAGCTCCAAGGTACACCACAGGGCAATACTCAGGATCCAGCCACCAGGGGACCCCAGGAACAGCTGTAGGGTGCCTGGTGGCACTGGCTGGACACCCCAATGCTCATTAAATGGTGCCCTGAAAGTCAAGGCCCCCAAGCACTGACCAGCACTGACCAGCAGGGAGGATACATTGCTGCCTGCCAGGGGCCTGGCACTCGCAGCCCCGTGTGACACTGGCCATTGGGATGCAGACTTAAGGTGCCCGACCTGGCCGGATGCTGGGCTCCAGCAGCCAGTGTTGGAGCCGTGAGGCCTGTGGGGCCCTGGGGTGGCCTCTTGGGGACTGGGTGGCGCTGGTTCATCCTGCTTGCCCTCAACTTGGAAGTGAACCAGTCCCCCCACAGCTGACCAGACAACTTGCCCTGCACCCCAGACTGGACTTGGGGCTCGGGCAATCTCCAGAGGTGCCCCAGGGCCACCCTCTCCTGCCTGTGTACACAGGAGGCACTTAATGTGTGCTCAGTCCTCTCTATTCCCAGAGTGGCCTGGAACAGCAGTGTTCATGCGTGAATATAGGGTGGGGGATAATCAGGGAGGGGCTGCCTCTGTCCCAACCCAGCCCTGTGTCCAGGGGTCCCCAGGCCTGCAGCCCCCGGGGGTCTGAAACAGGCTGGGTTGAAGGACAGTCCAGGCCTGGGCTCGCCGGGTGGCCCATCTTCCCAGGGCCCTGTGGGGACTCCAGCCTCACCCCTCTCCACTGCTCCCAGCTCCCTGGCCTCTGTGTCACAGGCCCCTCTGCCTGAACCCCCGAGTCCTCCGTCCAGGTCCCTATGCCCTCCTGGGAGAGGGGCCTTGGTCCCTCAGCCCCTGGAGCTCACCTGGCTTTGGCTGTTGTCCGGGCCCCTCTCTCAGGTGGAGGTTCTTGAGGTCAGGGGTCGCCTGTCCCCGCACTGTGTGTGTGTCCCCTGCTCTGGTATGGTGCCTGGCCCCGAGCAGAGCTTGGCCGACATCCCCTGGGGGGTGTGTGTGAAGGAGCGAGGAAACCGGGTTCCACCTGTGACGCAGGCTGTCCGCGGCCTATGGCCTCCAGTTTGTCACCTGTGCACCAGCAATGGAGCCCGACACTGCCTGAGCCCGACAGCGCACTGGTGAGGGCTTGAGGTCCCTGGGGGGCCTTCTGGGGTGTCCCAGAGCTGAGGGCCACACCTCTACTTGGGCCAGACCCCCACCCAGTCCCCGCAGTGTGTGTAGGGCCCGGGGTGAGAGCTGAACCCACAGCCTACCCCTGTTCCTGAGGGCCAGGGCCTGCCTGGTCACCTCCGGGTGGGCCTGGGGGTGCTCAGGGGCGTCAGGAAGACCCCAAGGGACTCAGGGGCCGGGGAATGTGGAGCCAGGTGTGGGAGTGGACACAGCTCTGGGTGGCCCCTCCCTCTTCCCTGGAGATCCCTAACCCCGCAGGAGGGGTGCAGCCAGAGGACAGGGCCAGGGCGGGGGCAGAGCCCTCCCACCTCGTCCCTGGTCACCTCTGCTAGCAGAAGCCTTTGACCAGGTGCGGTGGCAGTTCCGGAAGCGCATCTGTCCCTGGTCCACCTAGGGGCCTTTCCCGAGGAAGCCCAGCCTGGAGTTTGGGGTTCTGCACTAACGAGGCCTCCCCCTTGATGAAGACGGATAGAGCGAACGCGGCCCATTAAATGGTTAATAAAGAAGATCCCCCACACACCTTCCTCCGCAGCCGTCCTGACACTTTATAAAGCACATTAGGATGTAATCCAATTGAAACCGCAATATCGAGAACATCTTATCTTATCACAAATTGAAATTATATCATATTCCTCTTTTCTTAAATTAAAAAGCTAAAACCTTTCCGTTTGCTCTCACGCGGTTGTGTAAAACTTAATCAGTGGTTTTAACAACATTACGTATCCATATGGGCCATTTCTAGTCTCATTTATTTACGAGGGAGAACTTTCCAGAAAGTGGCCATTGGATCTGTGAGCGGAGGTGCCGGGCAATGGGGCTGCTTCCCTGGGGAGATGTCCTTGGTCTTGTCCGCGGGCGGCTGGGGTCAGGGTCCAAGGGACACTGGGACGGTTTTGGTGTATGTGTGTTGGCCTTTGAGGAATCTCTGCTGGACAGACGGAAGCCAGAAGGGGCTGGTGGCCGGGTCCATCGATGTGGGAGGTAGCGTGGGCCCAGGTCTAGGTGCCCCCAGGGCTGGAGGCCCAGGCGTGGGCCCAGGGGCAAAGCTCAAATGGCCCCGTGAGACCTTGAGGACAGGGACCAGAGCCCACTGGGCTGACTCGGAATTCAATTTCCTGCTTCAGCTCAGGTTACCAGGAGGCCCTGGCGGCCAGGGCAGCTGGCAGGGCTTTCAAGAGACGATAGATGAAGAGGGACATTCAGGTGAACAGCTGCTGGTGGGGAATGGGATCCTGTGACGTGGGCACATGCTACAGTAGCCACTGGCCACAGGTGGCCGTCCAGCTCCTGAAACATAAAACACACCGGGGTTTCCAAAGGACCTGTAGCATCTCCCTACCAACATTTTGTACTGATTTCTTATTGAGGTGGCCACACTTTAGGAATATGGGGTTTAATAAAATGTCACTAAATAGGGGCTGGGGTTGTGGCTCAGCGGTAGAGCGCTTGCCTAGGACAGCAGGGTCCTGGGTTTGATTCTCAGCACCACATACAAATAAAATAAAGACGTTGTGTCCACCGAAAACTAAAAAATAAATATGATAAATAAATAAATAAATAAAGGTATCGTGTCCAACGACAACTAAAACAAAATAGATATATTTTTTAATGTCATGAAATGAACTTCACCTTCACCTCTTTTTCTCTTTTTCGTACTGGGATCGAACCTGGGGCTGCTTAGCTGCTGAGCTACCTCCACAGCCTCGTTTGGATTTTGATTATAGTCAGGATTTCGCTAAGTTGCTGAAGGCCTCACAAGTTGTCGAGGCTGGCTTTCAACTCGCAGTCCTCCTGCCTCGGCCTCCCGAGCTGCTGGGATCGCGGGTGTGCGTCACCGCGCCCGGCAAAGCCGCTTTCCTTTTGCTGATTTTTTAAAAACATGTCAACTAGAAAGCTCTGGACGAGGCACGTGGCCCCTGCATTCACAGATGGCCTTGTGTTCTGTGGTCGGGTGGCTCACTGGGATCCCACTGGTGTCCTCTTGGTGTCTTCTGAGGGCGTGGGCTCCACTCCCCTGCTCTGTCCACTTTCTGTCCACTCTCTCCTGGGGCCGGCTTTCCTGTTCCGCCTCCTCCTTCCCCTTCCTGGCCACCGTGTGTCTGGGCTGGTGTCCCCCGCCCTGCTGGAAACCCTCAGGGTTCTCCTCTGTTACGTGCAAGGCTAGGTCCTGTGTCACCCTGGACAGCGCCCAGCACCAGGCGCCCAGCCGTGGGAGAAAGCTGTCAGGGGCTTGTCAGGGGGAACGTCTGTCCTAGGACGCTGTCTCCAGTGACATCATCGGGGGAAGCACCCGGTGACGTCGACAGTCTCCCTAGACTGCTTGTTCCTTCCGTCACCTCTGTCCACTCATCCAACGCCTACTGACAGCTCCTGGGGCGGGGCTGCTTGCTGGGTGCTGAGGGTCCCACGGCGGACAAGACGCCCACAGGTCCCATCCTCAGGGACTCAGGGGCAGGGGACAAGCCAGCAGGCAGAGAACTGCAGCTGGGGAGGGGCTCTGTGGGGAGAGCATGGGGGTGCGGGGGTCTCAGAGGAGGGTTAGCCAGACCAGGGGCAGTGGGGGTGCAGCACCTGCAAAGGCCCTGTGGCAGGGGGCAGGCACGGGATCTGGCTGGAACTAGACTCTGATGGCGCGTGGGGTGGCCAGGTGGACGGACTATCAGGACAGGGGCCACGGTCAGCCTCCAGGGGAGGACCACCTTCACAGCCTGCTCTGGCTGTGGTGTGGAGGGTCACGGGGGCTGGGGCGTGGGGCCGCAGGAACTTGGATACACAGCCCAGGGCCAGGTGGGCCTGCTCTCCCCTCCTTGGCCAGAATCTAGTCACATGGCCCCACAGAGCTCCAAAGGACACTGGTGCGGGTGGCCTCTCTCTGGTCCTCCCTGCAGGCCTTGCCCTAGAGGAGGGTGAGGAGTGGACACTGGGGGTACGAGTGTCCTGTGGCTGCTGTGACCAAGTGCCCCAAACTGGGGCTGAAACGAGCAAATCTCGTTCCCCCCAGACCAGAGGTCCCAGACCGAGGTTCAGGGACAGGCTCCCCGTGATGGCGCCAGGGGACGATCCTTCTGGCCCCTTTTAGCGTCTGATGGCTGCCAGCGTTCCTGGGCCCGTGGCCACATCCCCCTAGTCTCTCCCCCCATGTCCCTGTGGCCGCCTCCCCTGGGCCGTGTGTCCAGATCTTCCTCTTGCTGTCAGGTCACCAGCCGTGGAGTCAGGGCCACTTCCCGCTGGACCAGCTCCTCCCGCCATCTTCCACCGATGACGTCTGCAGAGGCCCGGTTTCCACATCAGGTGACGCTCTGAGGTTCTGGGTTTGGGGCACTGTTGGCCCTACCTCTTAGGGTCTTGGTCTCCTGCTGGACTTTCTGTTTGCAGATGGCAGAGTCCTACCTGAGTGGGGCTTGGGGCCAGGAGGGGACACAGGGCCACCCACAGGTCACCCATGCTGAAATCAGGACCCCACATTCTTTGAGTAGACTCAGCTGCATGGGTGGCCTCGCATCCCAGAGGCGCGTTTGTCCAGGCTGGGGACATGGGGACTGGTACCAGGCTGGCAGAGGTCTGCTCCTTATTGTGGCTCTTGGTAAGGACTCAGAGAGTGATGAGACTCTGTGCGAGGCAGCCACTCTGAGAGCGAGAGGCAAGATCAGGGATCTACCAGGACAGTGCTCTGTCTGAAGCCGTCACCTGCACTGACCAAGGGCTCTGTGCTGGGTTGAGAAAGCCAGTTGTCATGGCCCAACTGGAACTGGTACCAAAGGAAGTAAGCAGTTGAAGGCCCAAGAGGAGAATGTCCTGAGACTCTAAGTCTCCCCTTCAGGAAATAGTCGGATTTTTATCTTTGCTGGATGTGGGCTGGGGCCCAGGGTGGCCTGTGGAATGTGAGACTTATAGAGCCACAGCAGCCAGTTTGGGACCCTGAGGGACGAGACTGGCAGGTCAGAAAAGAAAGGCTCCCGGGTCTTCGTTGATGTTTTGTGGCGCCCTGCCTGAATTGGCCAGTCTAGAACCTTGTGGTACAGAGGGACAAAAACCCCAGGATTCTTTGACTTGAGCATTCGGACAGTCGAGCCAGAGTCCCAACAGATTTCACCTGCACCGTGCAACTCTTTCTCCCCAAGGATGTGAGCTCTCTGGGGACGTGGCCCTGAGCCTGACGGACAGTCCCACAGAGATTTGGGGACCAGGGGGACCACCGATGAGGGTGATGTGCGGCTGCTGGTTGTTTTGTGGGCAGAAACTCTGACGGCCTCTGGCCCCGGGATGGGCTCTCTGCGGGTGGGCAGGGAGTGACCTCGGGGCCCTCCCTGGGGAGGAAGCAGGACTTTGAGGGCTCCAATGTAGCCCCCTACCAACATCCAATGCCCCAGAAGGACAGAGTCTCAGCCCTCCTGCTCCCAGAATCCCCCGCACAACTTTTTTTTTGTTTTTGGTCCTGGGGGTTGAACCCAGGGGCGCTTAACCACTGAGCCACACCCCCAGCCCTTTTTCATATTTTATTTAGAGACGGGGTCTCCCTGAACTGCCTAGGGCCTTGCAAGTTGCTGAGGCTGGCTTTGAACTTGTGATCCTCCTGCCTCAGCCTCCCCAGACCCGGGATCACAGGCATGTGCACCACTGTGCCCTTTATTATCTATCTATTTATTTTTTAGTTGTAGCTGGACACAGACCTTTATTTACTTATTTTTATGTGGTGCTGAGGATGGAACCCAGGGCCTCACTCCTGCTGGGAGCCTCAACCCCAGCTCACACCCCCTGCCCCCCCTTTTTTTTTTAAAGAGGTTTATTTTGGATCGTGGTTTTGGAGGTCCAAGGTCGAGGGACTGTGACTTCTCAGCCAAGGCAGTCCAGGGCATCCCCTGGGAAGAGTCAGGGAGGACACGTGTGTGCCTGTCTCTGGTCTCTCTCCCATTATTTTTTTTCCTATGTGGGATCATCGATTCTGGCTTCCGACAGGCCCAAGAAGTTCCACTTCTTATCTGACCACTGGCAAAAGGCTTGGGTGCTGCCCCCTGACCCCTGGGGCTTGCATGCTGGATCTGCAAGGGGTTCCCTCCTCCTCTGCATGACCCCAGGCTACAGCTCTCAGGTAAGGCTGGGAGGGTCCCCAGAAGCCAGAGGGGCTGTCACCGCTCCAAGAAGTAGGCACGGAAGGGGCCCCAGCAGCCAGCAGCGCTTGGCCAGACTCCAAGGCTGCAGCCAGGTAGCCGGCTGCGCTGTCTCCCTCCCCTGGAAGTGGGGGGCCCTCGGGGGACCCTGTGTCACATGACCCATCAGCTGACAAAACAGGATGACTCAGCCGGCAGCTGTCGGCCCCTGAAATAATGACAAAAACAATTAGCAATCCAAGCAGTAGCCTTTCCTTAATTATCTCCTCCGAGTTTAATTAACTAGCTAAATTATCAGCAGTAATGTAGGCATTAATTATGTCAAATTACAGTGTAAAACTCACAAAGTGTGGAAATGTCAATTCAGCTCGGCTCACCTGCCAAGCGGGGTGGGGAGCGGGTGCGCGTTACCTGGGCGCGCTCCCGGGTGCCTACCTGTCTGTGCGGAGGGCTGAGGGGGCCCCGGGGGCCAGGGAGGAACCCAGACGGGGGCCGGCGTCCTCGGGGCCACAGTGGGAAGGCGCAGGGGACAGGGAGGCTGGGGCCCGGGGATGC